ATACCAGCAACTGTGGTTGGATGAGGTAATCCTTATATATTATTAATAAAACTTGTGTGTGTGTAATGGAAGCAAGTGGTTTACTAAGAACAAATAACAGAAGTCATTTGATTCATCGTTTTTGTCGTGAACGTGATGCAGGTGAACGTTTTCGTAAATGTATTTTTGTAAATAGCTAAAATCTTGTAAATAGGGGGATCAGTATTTTGTTTTGTCTTTAGTTTTAAGTTAGGATTAGTTAATTGACAAGAGTCATCCTGTAAAACAGTTTGTACTGAGGAGCGCTTGCTAATAAAGACATTTTTATTTATTTATTATTTCGTAAGTTTTTACAAAACATCAGGAAACATGAGGACAACGTTTTTTTTTTTATACTATCGTATGCCAGCCCAGTCATTCGATGAGCTTCTTCAGATCATGAGGCCTCAGATAACAAAAATAAAACACACATTTTAGGAATGATATTCTATGCTATCAGAATATTATTATGCCTGTATGTCCCACAGTGATAGCTGGCCGTGAACATTTTCGATAAACTTATCAACATTAAACATTTCTAGTAGATTCTAAACAACCTCACAACGCAACAGGATAGTTTGCACGAACCCCCGAGACTGAACGAGTTTTAGGTCTTTGTCTGGTCGTACTAAGATGATTGATTAATGCACTAAGTTAAATTTCAGTTGTGACAAAATTAGTCAGTACAGTTTTTTATCCCTGTCTTATTACATTCTTCCATTACAAAACCCATCATTAATTAAATGGCCATCATTAATTGTCTTTACTTTCTGGTTAACTGCGTCCTTAAGTACGGAATTTGTGAGTGTAGATGCTAAGTTTGAGAACGCATCACAAAAGAAATTTACACACACTAAAATCTGGTGATCAATAGTGGAAATAGGGAAATAGTGGAAATAGGGGCCACGACATAATATCACGACATAAATATTGGGAAGGTGGAATAAAACATTCTAGAATAGAAATATAATAAATTTAATGAAAATTGAATCCTTATGGGCAGTGAATCTTGTTAAATTAACATTTATAAGGTTTAATGTATCTAACGTTGTTGTCTCACCTGTGACATAAAAAAGAGCTTAATCAACAATAATTATGAACCACAGCTTGACACAGGGCCGTCCGAAGGGGGGAGGGGGGCACCGGGGCTAGTTGACCCGGGCGCCGCAGCAAATTTTGTTTGTGGTATTGTAGGTTTGCATGAATTGTAAAGGTTATCAGATTATGGCGTCAATAAATACGAATCTGAAAAATGAGGCAGTAGTTAACAATAATTTGTAACACTATAGGTGTAATCAAAATGTAAACGTAATGTGGTATGAAGCTTACATATGCGAATGCGACTAGTACTGGGGGGGGGGGCACCGCGACTAAATTTTCCCGGGTGCTAACAACCCTAGGGATGGCCCTGGTTGACAAAGCGTTTCGACATCTACATCATCCTAACAGTTTCTTTAGAACCGAACGGCTGCATTTTCCCGATAGATTCCGTTTTCCTAAAATTCATTCGTACGGACATAATTCATTTGAAAAAAATAGAAAGAATTCAATAATAAAGTGAATTACAATTACAAAATTGAGAAGACAAAATGTTTAACTTTCCTCTAATCGTAAGCGGTTGTCGTCAAGATGCTACCCCAACAAAACGCCACCATCTAGATGACCGAATGCTGGGTTGACTGTAGGTTGCAATTTAAGTGCCGTACCGACAGTATAGTCATTAATTAAAATATATACATTTTCCTTACGTCCGTCAGTAATTTTAATACGTGAATATGCTTTATTTCTTCTCATAAAACCTTTTGTACTGCCGTTGATTATGGACGCTAACTGACTACAAGTACAGGTAATGTATCATATATAAAGGGGGAGACGTGATTCTATGATAATATTTCTTTGTACTATCGCTCGCTGATTACTGTACAGAATCATCTTTTTCCTACCAGCATTAATCCATTTACACTATCGCCGATTATAGGCGCCAACTAGAGCTACAGTTCAACATAGTCAAGCTATAGTCAAATTTGAAACTGAATTGAGTACCTCATCTGAAAGGGCTTTCTGTTCAGAGACAAAGTCAGTTGGTGTCATAGATTAAGTCAAAATCAAATACAGCAAAGTATTTAATTTATATATTATTAATAGGCTTTATAAAATATTCAACTAATATTAATTAATAAATCAATATTGTAAAATAGGTACTTTCCTGTTAAAGGGAACATTCATTATTATCGATGATTTATTTTCGATATATCGATATTTTTGTTTTACTTCACGATTGGTACTTCTGTTTTAATATCTTCAAACGCATTTTGGCATTTAAATTACAAATTAAGAACCAACCTTGTTTTAGGCAAAAATAATAGCCTATATATTGGATTAGGACATGAAACTATTCCAAACTAACCTAACATAACTAACCAAACTTGCTGTATAGGCTAAGTTACCGTTTCAAAATTCCATGTGATAACAGAAAAGGCATTTTATGGGGAATAGATAGCCTATAAACGGAATTTTGAAATGTTACAGCAAGTTTGGTTGGTTAGGTTAGTTTAGAACAGTTTCATTTCAATATATTTTTTTTAAATTGTTTGTTGATACTGAACAATATTTATTTACTGTATTACTTGTCAGCTGTTATGTTTCAATTTGTTACTATCAATATATCGGATGGAAAACAAAAATATCGATATATCGAAAATAAATCATCGATAATAATGAATGTTCCCTTTAACAGGAAAGTACCGTAAAATATTAATATGAAATTAATATTATAAAATATTCATATCAAATTATACAATATTAATATATAATATTAAATTATATTAGTAATATGGAACCAAATCGATTGTATCACTGAAAAATATCGATAGTTCTAAAGCAATATCTTTATGAAGACATTGCTGGTGTTTTGGCCTGATATTTTAATCTGACGAGAAACTGTATTTCTTACTTATTAAATTTTTTTACAATGAATTAGTACATGAATATTGTTATTTCATATGCTACATAGCAATTCGGATGTGACTAATATACAACGATTTGTTTATAAAGAAGAGTGGAGCCATAACCTAAATATACTGTCAAAATGCAACCAGTGAAATTCCCAAACTGTGTGGACATTAACACCTTCAAGCGAAAAAACACTCGATTGTGTCAACATTTGCATTATCTGTGTGGACATGTGTACTAGGTTTTGCATTACCTGTGGGGACATGACCGACTCCTGCATTAACTGTGGGGACGTCCACACAATTTTCATGATTTTTTTACTACATTTTGACCAATAAACAAGGAGTGTTCTTTTATTCATCTTCAGTTTGAGGTTAGAAAGAACCTAGGATATTTTTTTTAGCCGTGTGCCTTGATGTCCACATAGTTTGGTTAAAATCCCATGTCCACACAAGTATAGGGATGGCGTGTATGTGTGTGTATGTGTGTGTGTGTGTGTCTGTGTGTCTGGATGTGTACAGAGCTAGAGACTACACCTGTGGTCCGATTTCGATGAAATTTGGTATGTAGGTTCTAATCTATGGTATCTCCAGGCGTTTTTTTCATTTTTTTTGAAATTTTGATTTTTAATGGGGATTTTCCCATAAAAACCCATAAAAAACCGGAAAAATCGGATTTTCTCAAAAATGGCCCGAACGATTTTGATAAAAATTTAGTATGTTGTAGCCCTTTAAATTCTGAATAAAATGGTACAAATCCCATATCTGTAAAAATTACGGTTCAAAAGTTATGGTCAAATATGTTATTTTCCCTTAAAAGCCCCATAAAATAATGAAAAATAGGATTTTAGAAAAAAATACGGTTTTGATTTAACATAGTATGTTATAGTCCTTACAATTTTGATAGTTTTTTTTTTAATTTTTTAGAAATTTTTATTTTTAATAGGGATTTTCCCATAAAACCCCATAAAAAAAACGGAAAAATAGGATTTTCCCAAAAATGGCCCGAACGATTTTGATAAAAATTTAGTATGTCATAGTCCTTTATATTCTGAACAAAATGGTACGAATCCCATTTCTGTAAAAATTACGGTTTAAAAGTTATTGTAAATTATGTCATTTTCCCATAAAACCCCCATTAAATAACAGAAAAATCGGATTTTCCCAAAAATGGCCCGAACAATTTTGATCAAAATTTAGCATGTTATATTCCTTTAAATTATGAACAAAATTGTACAAATCCCATTTCTGTAAAAATTACGGTTCAAAAGTTATTGTAAATTATGTCATTTTTCCATAAAACCCCCATTAAATAACAGAAAAATCGGATTTTCCCAAAAAAAAGCCCGAACGATTTTGATAAAAATTTAACATGTTATATTCCTTTAAGTTCTGAACAAAATTGTACAAATCCCATTTCCGTATATTTACTCTCACCGCTTACACATGATAAAGGTTGTTGACAAACTTATGGGAGAAAGTATGTGTCAGAATGCTGATACCGTTTATTTTATTTATGACAACAGCTAATTTGCAACCAAAAGGTGAGTGAGCGTAGCGAACGAACATCAACCTGGAGGCGAGTTAGAGTAGCGAACGAGCTAGCCTGAAGGCAAGTGAGCGCAGCGAACGAGCTCCAACCTAAAGGTGAGTGAGCGTAGCGAACGAACTTCAACCAGGACGTGATTGAGCCATGCGAACGAGGTTATCTTGAAAATTAATAAGTTAAACGGGGCAAAGTCCGCGGGTATAGCTAGTTTATTTTATAATTTTAAAACAATATTTTATAATTAAAAAGTTAATTTTATAACTAAATTTTTTCAAAGAGGTTCTAATAATTTTAGCTCAGTGGCGAACGCTGACACTAATGTTAGCCTTAGTCCCTCCCGTGTGCCCCACCGTCCTCACACATCTTTGTTCTTGTCGTTGTCTGTTGTCTTTTATATGGCCTCATGAATTTTATTCAAGGCCACGCCACATTTGTGCCATTTAGAAAAAAAAACATCTCAGTCAAATGATTTGTTTTTGTTTGTACCTTCTTGTACCTAACTTTGTGTGTCGTGTGTGTAAACTGAGGTTATGTCTACGTTTTTCTTTCTTATTTATTACCGTCCAGCCATAGCCAATTGGAATTGAGCCAACAGCCAGTTAGTTCCTACTTTGTCTTATCGAAAGACTGATTGTTTGTAGTCTGTTTTTTCATGGTTTGTGTGATATAAGATCAAGCTTCCATTAATTTGATCTAATTTCTCCAAAGCACACAATTTTTCAGCAGGTATGTTGGTAGCAAATGCATGCTCTTGGCCAATGTCTTTACCTAGGCCATTGAGTATAAACCTAACCTATAAACCTAAGGGTTAGGTTTATACTCAATGCCTAGGCCTAGGTAAAGTGTTTGCTAGGGCAGGGTTATTGTGATATTAAACTAAGTTAGTTTATAACAACCGAATGAGTAATATTGATTATTAAATTGTGTAATTTGATATATCGTTTGGTCAGTTAGGTTACGGTAGGTTAACCTTCTCTAGGCCTACCTAACTAACCAAACAATATTATCTAACTTAATAATCGATATATCGATATTTTCATTTGGTTGTTTGTGCAACAGATATGGAAGTGTACCCCAGCCGTTTGCTTGCAATTTTGAGCGGAGCTAGCAGATTAATTCAATGTCAATGATATATTTGTCTCACTTAAATAGAATGCCGGGTACCCAGAATGCTTATTTGCAGTTTCCAAAGTCAATTATGAGTCTGGTTGTTGTCCACGTGAATGAATTGTCTACTTGCAGGAACAAAATTCTATGTTTAATTTGGTTCTCATATTAAGTTACCTAAATAAAAGTCTAGGCTAGGCCTACTTGCAGTATCCAATGTCAATGATATATTTCGTTCACTTAAATGGAATGCCTATTGACAGTATCCAAAGTCAATGGTTCGCCTGGTTCATTTAAATGAACCAGTTAGATCCAGATTCCCCATTTACTAGATCACAACTGTTGTTCACACACAAGAATACAAATTTACAACTAGTGTAACAACAGATCCATTTATGTCTGAGATGACATCTTGGTTGCCAAGCTTAATTAGCTGTGACAAAGCTGGAGTAAGAAAAAGACAATTACCATCAATCACATAGCTTTGTAATGAAAGGAAATAGTCATTTATAATGCTGTCATCAACCCATTTGTCCTTCAATATAATGTTTAAATTAGTGATCTCCTGTTGCACTAAACTATTCTTAACTTTAAGATCTACAATAACGTTCAATTGTTTTTTTTTTGTCTGAGTCGATTGTTTTCATAGAATTTGTCACTTCCACCAATTTTACATTTATCGAGCTGTTCTCGGCCATTAAGGAAGTCATGTCATCTCTTTCTCGGAGTTTCTCCTCCAGCAGCCCGATATGTGATGTCAATGAAGCGATCTGAACAGCGGCATCGTCTTGAATTTGAAAAGAAGTGTTCATCTCGTTTTGAAGACGGTCTTTTTCCCTACATAGTTTGGAAGACATAGTTTTCACGTCAGCCATACACTCTTGTAGATCATTAGCCTTTTTTCCCTGTCATCATTTAAAAGTTCAAAGTTTTGTCAAATTTAGAAATATGTCGGGAAAGCTTAACCAGAGATCCATCCGGGTAGGTGGCTTGTATACTATTTATCTCTTTGGTCAGATCAAGAAGCGTAACGTTCTTGAAACTCTTGTATTACCGGTACGTCACCCGATTCGGTTTCATTAATAAACTCATCTCCGCTATTCATTGTCAATAAGTTGGAAGTATTAGTTTGGTCAATAATATAGCGTTTGGTTAGTTAGGTAAGGTTTAACCTAACTAACCAAACGATATATCGAATTAAACAATTGAATAAACAATATTAGGCCTAGGTACTCATTCGGTTGTTTGTGCCAACAGATATGGATGTGTACCTACGGTGTGTCATACACTAAAGGCATTCTCTGTTCTTCTGTCACTTTCTCGACTTCAGTTCTTACTGCTGCCAAACACGCCCGTTTAACCCAAATTTCGTGCGGGAAATCGTAGTACACACCGTAACCCGTATTTTTCAAGTTTTTCACCCTACTTATTATGTATTCAATATCTGAATCATAAGGCAAGTGAGCAACAATAGTGTCTTTTTCCTTTCCTAATGGATGTACCGGCCTATTGATGCAAACTTGGTTAATTCCAAAAATTTCACTACAAAAGGCGCCTACAACGTGCTTAAAATCTGATGTTCTTGGACCCCATATTAGTCCCCTGAATATAAGGTTATTCCTTCTGGCTTCCAACGGCTTTCCAAATCAAGCAACTTATCCATAATAAGCCTATTTTGGACCTCAAGTTCCCTAATCTGTTCTCTTTTGGAATAATTTTCTTCCTGCAGGACTGCTACTTGGTTAGATAGGTTAATTAAATCACTTTTTGTGGCCAAAGTAGTGAGTTTGGTGTCAAGAAGCTCAGACATAACATCTCTTAGAGCACATCTTAATTGACCTTTAGTTAGATCACCCACTTTTGCCTCGTCGTTTTCCATGTCTATGTCGGTTAATCCAATACACTTCTGAAGATTACCTGGTGAGGCAGGTGACGAACGGGATCTTCTCCGATTTGCACTTCTATTCGGAGTAAAAAAGTCACTAATTTTACTTTCAGTCATTAAAATTGGCACTGTAATAACTGGTAACTACTGTAGATTATCACAGGAACCCGCACTAAAGAACAGTTCCTAGAACGAACTAGAACGAAATTGTCCTCGGTCTCGGCAACACACAAACACGCAAACCTGTCCGTCTCCGACCATGTGCGGACTGAACCACAACTACTGATATCTTAACGACCAGTTCACTTCCCGACCCGAATTATCAGTCAATATCTTCCTTGAAGTTATAATTTTCGGTAAACACAGTACTGATAAACAACTCGGTAATAAACATTTATAGTTTACCAAATTATCGGTAGCTATCGACAAGCATGTCATACAACAACTGCACCAGTGGTGCCAACCTGGTTGATTACTATGACTGCTAAGTTTCGTGCAGATTGCTTCAGCCGTTCAGGAGGAGTATTTGTAACAAAAGCAGGAGTGTAGTATAAGAGCAACACTCGCTTCGCTTCGCTCCACTGAACAAGATGGCTAGGATACTATTCATACAACAGTCAAAAGAAGGGTAATTATCTATCGATCATGGACGAGTCTCGCTAAAATAATATTTTTGTCCCTTTAATTATGCTACCGTAAATAAAGTCCTGAATTGAAAAAAATGGTTGTCATTTTCCCCGAAAAAGCAGATAAAAGGAAAACAACATTTTTTCGAAGTAGGTCATGTGGGTTCTCAAATTAACCGGCGGAGTGAGATGAACAAGAATATGCAAGACTTTTCAAGATCTGATGGTGATTAACGGAGGTATACGGAAAAGCGTAGGAAAATCCAGTTAGCGCAAAAATGACAAAAACTACTTAAGCTAGGTTGGATTAGGTTAAAATAGATTAGGTTGGGTTAGGTTAGACAATAAATTAGATTAGCAATCAAAACCAGAATTTTGTCCCCTGTTCATATAACTAGCGTTTACACAACTGTAGATGTACAGCCAGGATTTTTACCCTCGGATTTTCCCCCCCGGAATTTTACCCCCAGGATTTTTACCCTCCGATTTTTACCCCTGGCCAGATATACAAATTATTGAGAATGATTAATTTTCTTCTTTCAGTTTTAATTTAATAGTAAACATTTTTATTATTATAGTAGTCTATGTTAATTTATTTGTAATCTCAACTAAGTAAACAGGATTTTGCTGTTTTATTTTGATATTCAGGATTTGGGTTTCTGGGGCCAACTGTTGGTATGTATGTAATAATCAAAGTAACTAATTTAAATGATAATTTGGTGAACAATTCTTAAACGATTAACCGTGGAAAAACAATTTATTTCAATTCTGTTGTACAATAACACAATATATGCCTTTTTGTTTCTTAAGGCACAAACCATAAGCTATTTATGAACTGAGGTAGGTCATCGAAATACCTGTTGTAAAATGTAGTTTTAGGCACCCGGTACAAAGAATTCGACCAATTGTTGTATTGATAAGGCCTACTGCAAGGACACCCAAATGTTTGTATATAAATATTTAACCAACAGTTAGCCCTAAAAATCGAATCCCAAAACTCGAATATCAGAATTGAAATTCAACCCTGTTTGATTAGTTAAGGTTACAAATAAATTGAAGTACAACTTATCAAATGTGTACCTACTATTAAATTAAAACTTAAAGAAGAAAATTAATCATTCTTACTTATTTCTATATCCGGCCAGGGGGTAAAAATCCAGGCCGTACATTTTGAGCTGACCTCATGAAGGGGGTAAAAGTCCGGAGGTAAAAATTCCGGCCCGTACACTCTAGGTTATTATAAATTTATGTGTTCTGATAAATTCTCATCCGTGAAAATATACGTTTAAATCCATCCAGGACGATGCCACTGTTGGGACGGTTGGGTCATTTGTAGCACTGCCTGGCCCTATTTATTGTATTGACATTGATTATTGTAATTAATAGGGCCAGACAGGGCTACAAACGAAGGTTAGTACATTAGATAGCAATATTGAGATAGAAGATGAACATTTTTCTGGTTATCCGACATTCAATAGTGAAGCAATATTTCACTTAATGGGAATGGTTAACAAGCTAATGTGTGGATTTAGGTATCTGAGGCTTGGCATGTATGTATGCAAAAATAAGGGATTTGGCCAAACTGAATGTCGTTTGTGAGGTGTCAAAGAACAAAGTGTAACTGATGTTGCACTCCAGTCATGATGGAGAAATGGTTAATTCCCCAACCTGAAGGTGACATGAAAGACTGTTGAACCAGGACGGGGCTCCACCTCGGCACTACGATGTCCCAAGTTCTTTTAATGACAGACTCGCAGATGGTTTGATTGGCCTCTGTGCTGAGAATTGCTAGGCTCTCTCCTAAGGATCTAGTATAAACTTTTGTAATATTTTTAAATAAAAGCTTTTGAAATTAAGTTTAAAAAACTAGCCTACCTGAAGGTTGCAATCTATGTATATGTAATAAAAATGGTCTTTTTCAGAATAGGCAGTCAAATTGAAGAGGAAAAGGAACTTATATTCATGTCGCAAGAAAGATAATTGACATAATCTGATATTTAAGTACATTAAACGGTAGGTAAAAAGCTTTTACTATACTAAAAGTACTACACAATGGAAGTAAGTTCACTATGTAAAACTTAAAATTCAATTTATGCATAACTTTTATATGGCTGATGCAATTTTATTTGAAAACTACATGAAATATAGTTTTTGAAACAAAGTTTTCTTAAATAGGCTAATTTAACTTGATGGAACATCAAAGTCAAGACAAAAAAGCAAATTGCCTCGAATAGGCTATGTTGTTTGATAATTAATACAAATACTATTTGAACAAGAGTTGATGAAATGTTATTGATACATATATATAATAACTGTTCAACATTTAACAAGTCCTACAAAAAAAAGACATATATTTAAATAGAAATGCAGAGCCAACCGACTAATTCTAATTAGTTACTAGCTTGTCTGTAAGAAATCAGAAATAAAAAAAAAAACTTAAAAATGTTGAATATCACTGAAATGCCTCTCATTAAGTGTCCAATATATAGAAAAATGTTTCCAACTCTATCAACAATGAAGTGTCATATATACTTATGACCTCATGAATGAGCGCACCACATCTGGAAGATCCATCCCAAATAGCTGCAATATGATGTTTCATACATTTACATTAATTCATTATTTGTCACTTCCTGGTTATTGGCGTTTATTGGTTTCCTGGCTGTGCGTTTAAATATGATTTTTAGCGAATTTCCCTATGAAGTAGCTATTACCGTAGGCCCGGGACCGATTTACTTTTTCATTTTGATGTCCCCAGAGGCCAAAAACACCATTCGTTCAAATTTTTTATATATATAGCCTATATATATATATATATATATAAATAAAGATATATATATATTATTAAGTAAATCAAAATACCACAGTACCCTAAAAACATTTTATTTTATATATATATATATATATATATATATATATATACAGACTTAATACATAGGTGTGCTATTCCCGTCATATGGTGACGTCAATCAGATTGCATACACCATTTTTACCATGTAGAAAAATGATAAAAAAATAAAAATCAAATCAAAACAAATCTAAATAATTAATACGCTACATGAATCTTTGTCGGTTGAACTCCTCCGCCATTTTTTTGTGCGGTGTCGAAGACCAAAGTGTAACTGATGTTGCATTTCCGTTCGAACCATGTTGGAGCAATGGTTGTTTCCCCAACCTGAAGGTGACATAAAAGACTGTGTTGAACCAGAAAAATGATTTTGAAATTAAATTTTAGAAAACTAGCCTACCTTAATGTTTACAATCTATGTATATATTTAATAAAAATGGTCTTTTTCAGAATAGGCAATCAATTTGTAGAGGAAAAGGAACTCATATTCACGTCGCAAGAAAGATAATTGACAATCTGCTATTTAAATACATAAATAACGGCTAAAAAGACAGAGTTTTTACTGCCTATACTAACGGTACTACACAATGAAAGTAAGTTCACTATTTAAAACTTAAAATTTAAATTATACATAATTCTAATATGGCTGATGCAATAATATTAACAAATCCAAAAAAAAAGACAAATATTTAAATAGAAATGCAAAGCCAACCGATTGATTCCAAATAGTTACTAGCTTGTCTATTAGAAATCAGAAATAAAAAAAAACTAAAAAAAATGTATAATATCAATAAAAAGCCTCTCATTAAGTGTCCAATATGTAGAAAAATGTTTTCAAGTTTATCAACAATGAAGTGTCATATATACTTACACACGGGCGAGCGTCCCTTTAGATGTTTGACTTGTGATAAAACATTTATTAAGCTACACCAAGTGAAATGTCATTTGTTGACACATTCTGGGAAGTGTCCTTATAAGTGCACTACATGTGGAAAATACTTCAAAACCAAGGCCACTATGAAGAATCATACAATTATTCATATGGGAGAGCGACCTCATAAGTGCACTATATGTGGAAAATCCTTCCAAACCAGCAGCAACATGAAGATTCATACATTAGTTCACACTGGAGAGCAACCTCACAAGTGTAATATATGTGGAAAATCCTTCAAAACCAAGGACAGTATCAAGATTCATACAATGATTCACACAGGAGAGCGACCTCATAAGTGCACTATATGTGGAAAATCTTTCCAAACCAGCAGCGATATGAAGAAACATATATTGGTTCACACAGAAGAGCGACCTTATAAGTGCATTACATGTGGAAAATCCTTCAAAACCAAGAGGGAAATGAAGGCTCATACATTGGTTCACATGGGAGAGCGACCTTATAAGTGCACTATATGTGGAAAATCCTTCAAAACCAAGGACTATATGAAGATTCATACAATAATTCACATGGGAGAGCGTCCTCATAAGTGCACTGTATGTGGAAAATCCTTCCAAACCAGCAGCAACATGAAGATTCATACATTAGTTCACACTGGAGAGCAACCTCACAAGTGTAATATATGTGGAAAATCCTTCAAAACCAAGGACAGTATCAAGATTCATACAATGATTCACTCAGGAGAGCGACCTCATAAGTGCACTATTTGTGGAAAATCCTTCAAAACCAAGTATGAAGTGAAAGTTCATACATTTGTTCACATGGGAAAGCGACCTCATAAGTGTACTACATGTGGAAAATCCTTTAAAAGCAAAATAGGCATGAAGCAACATACATTGGTTCACACCAAGTAGAGACCTTATGTGTACTATGTGGAAAATCCTTTTGATTTAGTGGCAATATGAAGAGACATTCATTAATTATTCACATTGGAGGACCTCATGAGCGCACCACATCTGAAGGATCCATCACAAATAGCTGCAATATGATGTTTCATACATTCATTCATTATTTGTTCATTCATTTCATTTGGTTAGGTGTTCTCAAATTCTACTATTAAGAAAATGAAAGAGTCAGCATTTCACGGCCACTAAAAATGTTTCTGGAGCCGCACCTGTCTCTAGACCTTTTAAAGAGCTTAAAAAAAAAATAACTTAGTATATCAAAGTGTTTTTGTACAATCATTGGTAACGAAGAAAATTAAAAAAAAAACTGTAAATTTAAAATTTCTATGTTATTGTTATGGAGAATATTGTAAAATGTTGTAGTTTGCTTGTTTATGGATATACTAGCTGTACCCGCGGGCTTTGCCCCGTTTAACTTCTTAATTTTCAAGATAAGCTCGTTCGCATGGTTCAATCACGTCCTGGTTGAAGTTCGTTCGCTACTCTCACTCACTTTTAGGTTGGAGCTCGTTCGCTGCGCTCACTTGCCTTCAGGTTAGCTCGTTCGCTACGCTAACTCGCCTCCAGGTTGAAGTTCGTTCGCTACGCTCACTCACCTTTTGGTTGCAAATTAGCTGTCATAAATTAAAAAAAATAATAGTGCTGCACCCTGTTGGTAATCCTCGTAACTTTAATGCTATTGCACATCATAGAACAGAACCAACTTGTTTAATTGAAACAGCTGTTAAGATTCATTAATTCCATTTAAATATGAGTACTCATAAGGTTAACATGGGAAACTCCAGAGCCACTGGGGCGGAGCCCGAGTGTCCGATCAGAATAAAAACTACTTAGTTTTCCTATTTAATGCCTATAGAATCAGTGTACCAAATTTCAGCCTCCTAGGTAAATGGGAAGTGGGAGAATTAGTGATGAGTGAGTGAGTGAGTCAGTCAGTCAGTCAGTCAGTCAGTCAGTCAGTGAGGGCTTTGCCTTTTATATATATAGATTTTGATCAAACTTGGCAAATTGATTTATTGTATACTATCCTTAAGTTTTACCAAAAAACAAACTTTATTAATTTCCTTGTAGCAGCAAACCCAGATACTCATTACACCTAATGTTTTTTTAAATAGATTTAATTGAAAGTCAATTGAGACAAATGGAAGTTTGCTTGGTTGGAAAGTTTACTGTGGCGGGGGTATTTTTTACACTGAACCCTGTTTATTGTATTCTTAGAGGAAGATGAAATCTTAAAAAAAAATAATTTGTTTTGGATTTCATGTAATTGGTGCTCAAAGTCAGCGTTTTGGTTCATAAATAGGAAAAAACAAAATTGTTTTTAACAAATTTTAAAAATACTACACACCCTCCTACATGTACCTTAAAAACCTCAATCAATTTATATAGCAAATATCAAAATATAATTTTTTACAAGCCCAAAGAAACCTACATTTAGATCTGATAGTTTTAACTTATCAATTAAAAATGTTTACGTATTTGTATGATTTACGTGTTATAGTTGAGTAAAGTTTCAGGGTGTCTACCAACCGGGAAAACCGGGAATTGTACTTAATTTTTTATTGGCCATGAAATGTACGGGAATTGTCCTTAAATGCCAGACTATGTCCTTAAATTTTTATTGGGCCATAATTTTATTGATCGCTAGTTGGTTAGGAGCACATAAAAGGTTTATCAGATGTTTGTTTACATTTTCATAATTTATTACTATAGTTATTATGCAATAAAAATCCCATTAGCAATTTCAAACCCATTAATATTTTATCACGACAATCAAGTGTCAAGTCAAGTACTTCCAAGAACTGTTGACTCAGTTATAGCTCATAAAAGTTGTATCACTTTTATTCCTTTACAACTTCTTTTTTTATTACTAGGGTAATTATTATGAGATCCCAAACCTATTTTATCGTGAAAATAATAGATTTATAATGGCTGTTAAATTTAACTTCTTACTTGTACTTTGGCTTGAAGATTCGATTTGCCGCGGCCATTGCCTAGTGCCATAAAACTGTTTATAGTTTCATATTAAACATGTAAATAATCTACAGTTTTATTTTGTAAGTTAACCCTTTTTTTATGGATATTTGATCTTTTAATTGACAAAACCACAAGCAATGTTGTTTGCATTAATGTTTTATCACTATGTAGGCCTGCTTGGTTTCAAGTTATGTCATTGCATTTTCTGTATCTTTGTCTTATATTGTTGGCTATTCAGGTTTCAATGTTTTTTGTTTCCCATATATTTATTTATTTTGAGTTGTATGCTTTAAGCAATCTAAATCTTATGAACTAGAATGATGTTAGTGACTTTGCTGCTATTATAACCTCATTGTTTGTTACCCAGTTTATATAGGCCCTCCTAAATAAATAGGTCTAGGCCTGGGTATTTTGATTCTTGAAAGAGCTGTAAAATATATTAAGAAAATGTAATTGAGCCTAGATAAACAATTAATGATTGCTATGTGTCTATATTAACTTTGCAAATGAAAATACAATAATCTTACTCTGTGCTTATTGCTTATTGGTAGCCGCTTACCATACCTTGATTTTGTACTAAGAACTGAGTAACAATATGCATTAAAGATTTTTTTCAAAAGTAGTCGAGAGCCTAACGTTGTGCCAGGGCGAATCATGCCAAATTAATCCGCCTGGATTGGATAAGCTATGTTATGAAGTTTACGTGACCGATGGAGATATTTGTCGCTATTGCAGGAGACAATGATTGCGTTTCTCGGTTACACTATAAAAGCTTTACCTAAAGTATAGGTAGGCCTATACTTGTTTACTTTCAATAAATTTCTATTTTGAAATTTTTAACTCTTATCTATTGTTATTTACTGTTCTCTCTGGTACAACTACAGTAAATAACAAGATTAATACAGTTTGACAAATCAGGAAAATTATTCGAAAGACCTAATGACACCGACAAAGGTTACGACAAAGTGTCCTTAAATGTACGGGAATTGTCCATGAATTTTTTATCCAGAATGTAGTAGACACCCTGAGTTTGGTTTGGCTATGTAAGTTGGAGATAACCTGGTTCATGTACCTTTAAAGCCATGTAAAACGCTCGGTAGATCAGGCACGCACACTAAGATAGTTTTACAAGCGCTCGGACTCGCACGCGCCAGTATCTCCCCCCTTCACCCCCTCGCCACGCCCAGCCGACTCCTCCGAGTTTTTATTATATTTAACCTATTTGTAAGTTTATTGAACGGAACATATCTTTACTTAGAAATCTCCTCAAAAGTGGATAGCTTCATTAAGTGCACATAAACAGCGGGAACTGAGCAAAGGACGCAAATTTACAAATGGCGGGTCACATCACTTTTGTTCGTCTCAAACTTAAGTTTAAATAAACGGATATTTCGCTTGTAACCGGAAATGTGCATTTCCGTTTGGTCATTATCTAATGCACAATTGAACAGTACAATAATCAAATCTCAAACAAATCTCTCTCTGTCCAGTAGGGTTTCAGCTCTCTGGATTGGAACATCACAAAGAACAGAACAGAAAAGAGAGGTTAAGGTACTGTAAACAACTTGACAGTTTAATTTACTGACAACAGTGACAACCTGCGTCTTTTGAGGCCGTAGTAGCCTACAGCACTTTAACACTCTCGCAGAATTAAATTGTACTAGTGCCAATCTTTGACGAGTATAGTATAGATAGTTGAGTTCACGCGCTCGAGGATCGATGAACGATGACATGCTAATTGTACAGTTAACCAAATAGGTTAATACGTTGGTTTCCTTTAGTTTTCCTTAAAATTACTAACAAGTATTCTTCCACGAACTAAACATTAGTGTGGAAAGGCGAAATTTCATATTCCATATATAATATTTCAAACGCCTGACCTCCAAAGCGGGACATTTCTAGGCGTCCCCTGGCCGATTGTAGCGGGTCGTATGGCCACGTTAACTATGGATGTTAAGATTATGATACATTTGTCTTATAGAGGTCACGTTTGTCTTGTAGAGGTTTTGTGCTAAGAATATTCGTTGTATAGAGGTTAATCAGTCCTAGCCCATGTCACAAACAAATTCGTCTTATGGAGGGTTTTAACTTAATTACTACGTTGTATAGAGGTGTTTTTAGCATTAACCTATATGAAAGTGTCAAGGGGATAAAAAAAAATCGTCTTATCGAGGAATTCGTTTTATTGAGGTTCGTACAAACAAGGTTCAACTGTACTAAAAAACCTAACACTTTTTGAAATGAACAATGATTTTATTGATGTAGAAATTAACAAATGATATTAGTGGACAATATAATTGAACTATGGTGAAATAAATTGCTAGAACTAAACTAATGCGGTTGTAACTAAATGTGAATTAAGACCAAAAGTGAGGTACGTGGAGGGAACTGCCTCTTACGTCCTATACAAAGCTATGTGAAGTTAACAATGTGATTATATATATAGATAGACTAGCAGAGTACCCGTTCTTCGTACGGGGGTGGCGTATAAGTATAAAATGCTAAGTGCTTATTGCAGTTATACTCTAGCTTTGCGTTTGCAATGGGGGAGGATAAGGCTTGTGAGAATTTGATTCTTTATATTTACAGTATGCTATAGTATTACATACTGTATATATTACTGTATAGTATATTCAATATAGTATTACTAATCTACCATAGCCTTTCTGTTCTATCACTGCACATAAACAATATAAAAAAGTAAATCATTCACACAATATCACAAATTATGTATTAAATTAAAAACATAAACATTACTTTAAACAATCCTACCTTGATAGGAGACTGATTGGGTTAGACACCAGCTACCTACGCACACCCCCGTGAACACAATGGGGACAATAAATGTGGTAAGGTAATAATAATGAATCTTATCACTTTGAGATCGATAGTTGGTGTGGTGTGTGCACTCAATGCTGCCTCCCACTTCCTAGAACATTCATTTGCTCTCGGCTCCTGTTGTATTAAACCATTGACTAAACATAACTTGTACAGTACATGCCGAGAAGGTTAGGTTTCAGCAGTCTGAACCCACTGTTCTAAAATATAATATTACTAGCTGTTTTGCCACCTCTTGGTTCGGGTAATGTTTTGTAAAATAAATTTTAGAAATACAGCTGTAAAAACTCAGACGACGGAAATTAACTGCCAATTAAATGGTGTACAAGTCTAATCACTTTGAAATACAGCAATGGAACCATATACAGAGTTATAAGAAGGATGGAGGACAAAGTCAAGGATTATACATAATTTATTTTCTCCAATTACTATCCACTAGTCATTGCGGGTAAATGTGGTTGTTCCAATCGCCGGTCCATCATCCTGTCATTGTGTCTCTTATTTTGTCATCTCTTACATTGTCAAATGTAGTTTTGTAGTTTTATTTGTAACAGTTTTCGTGCTTCTGTTAAAATTAAACTTATGCTAACATAATTTTTCACAATATACAAATTAATTCATATAGATATGAAGTATTCTTGTTAATTGTTGTTAATATTAGCCGTCAGTCATGGTAAAAAATACAAGGTGTCTGTCAGTTGGTTAAACTAAATTTCAGTGACTTGAAAATGAGATGGTCAGGCATGCAATAAGCCTATTTTTAAATGGAATATTATTTATTTACTCAGTCAAAGTAAAGGCCACAAGGCCCGTTTTTATTTTGTGCCGTATTGTAACAATATTGTTTTTGTTTAAAATGGCTGACATCTAAGACAAGTTGTAGCTCTTGGTCTCAGTGCAAATAGGGACATTGGGACTATTTTTATTTTTATACCATTTGTATCGGTCTCGGTATCGAATCAAGCGATACCTGATCGGTATCTAAAGAAAATACCCAGTTTCGGTATTCCATGATATATACCATGACTGAATGTCTTTTGTGCGGTGTCAAAGACCAAAGTGTAACTGATGTTGCATTTCCGGTCATGTTGGATCTGTGGTTTTTTCCCCAACCTGAAGGTGACATGAAAGACTGTGTTGAACCAGGAAAATGATTTTGAAATTAAATTTAAAAAACTAGTCCACCTAAATGTTTTAATCTATGTATATATTTAATAAAAATGAACTTCAACCTGGAGGCGAGTTAGCGTAGCGAACGAGCTCCAACCAGGACGTGATTGAGCCATGCGAACGAGATAATCTTGAAAATTAAGAAGTTAAACGGGGCAAAGCCCGCGGGTTACAGCTAGTATTTAATAAAAATGGTCTTTTTTCAGAATAGGCAGTCGATTTGAAGAGGAAAAGGAACTTTTATTCATGTTGCAAGAAAGATAATTGACATAATCTGCTATTTAAATACATTAAACGGCAGCTAAAAAAAGTTGTTACTACAATAAAAGTACTACACAATGAAAGTAAGTTCACTATGTAAAACTTAAAATTCAATTTATACATAACTTTTACATGGCTGATGCAATATTATTAAAAAACTACATGAAATATAGAAGCAAAGTTTTCTTAAATAAGCTAATTTAACTTGATGGTACATCAAAGTCAAGACAAAAAAGCAAATTGCCTCAAGTAGGCTATGTTGTTTGATAATTATAATACAAATAATATTTGAGCAAGGGTTGATGAAATGTTATTGATACATATATATAATAACTGTTCAACATTTAACAAATCCTACAAAACAAGGCATATATTTAGATAAAAATGCAAAGCCAATCGACAAACTCCAATCAGTTACTAGCTTGTCAGAAATCAGAATAAAAAAAATGTTTAATATCACTAAAAATCTTACAAATAAGTGTCCAATATGTAGAAAAATGTTTTCAACTATATCATCAATGAAGTGTCATATATACTTACACACGGGCGAGCGTCCCTTTAGATGTTTGACTTGTGATAAAACATTTATTCAGCTACATCAAGTGAAGTGTCATTTGTTGACACATTCTGGGAAGTGTCCTTATAAGTGCACAATATGTGGAAAATCTTTCCAAACTAACAGCTATATGAAGACTCATCATACAACAGTTCACATTGGAAAGCGACCTCATAAGTGCACTTTATGTGGAAAATCTTTCCAAACCAGGAGCCACATGAAGAATCATACATTGGTTCACATGGGAGAGCGACCTCATAAGTGTACTATATGTGGAAAATCCTTTAAAAGCAAAATATATATGAAGCGACATACATTGGTTCACACTAAAGAAAGACCTTATAAGTGCACTATATGTGGAAAATCCTTCAAAACCAAGAATGAAATGAAGCTTCATACATTGGTTCACATGGGAGAGCGACCTCATAAGTGTACTATATGTGGAAAATCCTTCAAAACCAGCTGCAGTATGAAGAATCATCATACAATGGTTCACATGGGAGAGCGACCTTATAAGTGTAATGTATGTGGAAAATCTTTCCAAACCAACGGCTATTTGAAGATTCATCGTACAACGGTTCACATGGGAGAGCGACCTCATAAGTGCACTATATGTGGAAAATCCTTCAAAACCAGCAGCATTATGAAGAATCATATATTGGTTCACACGGGAGAGCGACCTCATAAGTGCACTATATGTGGAAAATCTTTCCAAACCAGCAGCCACATGAAGAATCATACATTAGTTCACATGGGAGAGCAACCTCATAAGTGTACTATATGTGGAAAATCCTTTAAATGCAAAATATATATGAAGCGACATACATTGGTTCACACTAAAGAAAGACCTTATAAGTGCACAATATGTGGAAAATCCTTCAAAACCAAGGATAAAATGAAGCTTCATACATTGGTTCACATGGGAGTGCGACCTTATAAGTGTAATGTATGTGGAAAATCCTTCCAAACCAACAGTATTTTAAAGACTCATCATACAATGGTTCACATGGGAGAGCGACCTTATAAGTGTAATGTATGTGGAAAATCCTTCAAAACCAGCAGCAGTATGAAGAACCATCATACAATGGTTCACATGGGAGAGCGACCTTATAAGTGTAATATATGTGGAAAATCTTTCCAAACCAACAGCTATATGAAGATTCATACATTGGTTCACACAGGAGAGCAATGTACGTGATTGGTGGTTCTGAACCTGGAACCCTGACTGACAAATTGAGAAAAAATCTTATTCCTCTATAGAGCTATGCTCTAGAGCCAGCAACCTAATTCCTGCTAAACTCTAACTAAAATCTAACTAATCTAAAACTAAGGATTCATCTTGATGCCATCTTCCCTTAACCACACCCTAAATCAAATATCCAGCCTGTTTTAGGCCTGTGAGAAGGCGATCAAAGTGAGTACCTATGAGGAGATAGAAAAGATAAAATAACAGTTCTTCAGCTGTACCTAATTTCTGGTTTTATTAAGATTTTGAATAATTTAAATTTTATATAACTTGCTTTGAAAACTTAAACATGGTAGATACAAATTTAAATAATTACAAAACAAACCTATCTGTTTTTATGACACTGAAATTTACATTACAGTACTTGTAATTTTATATATACAACTAGCTGTACCCGCAGGCTTTGCCCCGCTTAACTTCATAAGTATAAATAATATAATGTACAGAACTACCTTAGCTTGTTAAATAATCATAGTTTTATATTTGTTGTACAAAATCCAACTAAAATTACCAACACTTCTAAAACGCTTGTTGATCATACTTTTATCACACATGCCAATTTAAATATATTCAATAATTAACTGATCACTGTTTATTAGGTTTAAAGATGTACTATTCAAATAAGAGCATTATATCAAAAGAGCAAGATAGTTCATCCTATTTTCAAAACACTGTGAACTATGATTTAGTGAATAGGAAGTGAAAACTGGGAAGAATGTTTCATTACAAATGACGTAAATTATAGTTACAACATATTTAATGGAAAACTAGTGTCTATTGCAAGTAATTCTATGTTAAGCTTCTATTTGAATGGTAAACTTTGGTCAACGGGAAATAAGTTCTGTTCTCTTTGTAATATGGGCGAAATTGAAACCACATTATATTTCATCGCTATATGTCCAATTTTAAGTAATCTTAGATTAACATTTTTACACAAAAGGGTCCTTTCTGAAGGGGATTATATTATTTTTTTAAATGGCAGGGATTGGCGAGTGTTAGTAAATTATTTAAAAAAACGCCTGGCAATACAGGTGGATTTTAATACAAGAATTTAACAATTGATAAAAATATCATACAAATTTAATCATCCAAACATCTCAACACAAAAAAAAACGATAAAACTATAGGAATTTAGAGAAACTGGTTAGATTGTATTTATATTTCTTAACTTAACTTTTTTATTTTAAAGGAATCCAATAACTGTTTTGTTAGATTTAGTTTTAGACGTGCCAACCCGGCAGACGACCTAGAGGTTATTGCTGTAGTGCGTAGGCACGTCCCCTGCGTGGGACAAATTAACTTGTATTGTGCACTGGGTATTTTGAAAATAAAACGCTTTTTCTTCTTCTTCTTCTTCTTCTTCTATTTTCAAAACACTGTGAACTATGATTTGGTGAAAAGAAAATTAGAAAGTGAAATATGGGAAGAATGTTTCATTACAAATGACGTAAATTATAGTTACAACATATTTAATGGAAAACTAGTGTCTATCGCAAGTAATTCTATGTTAAGCCGTAAACAAAACAGACTACATAAGGCAAAATCTTTCAGACGCTGGATAAATTCAAACCTGATTAAAAGATTAGATAAGTGTAAACAATTGTATGCTATACATAAAAAAGAACTTATGACTTAACTTTCAATAATTATTTCAATCGTTTCTGTGAGAAATTACAAACAGATATAGATACAACAAAAAATAATTACCTAACAAATAAAATTAATAACTGTAATGGTGATTCTGCTCAATACTGGAAGGTAATCAATAATACAATAGGCTGGAAAACGGCACTGTTTTAAGTGATCCAAAAAATGTGGCTGAAGAGATAAATAGCATAGATAAATCATACTTCCTTGCTTAGGCCTCTTTTATGCACAGCCTTTTCCGTCGGTCGGAATCTATCAGAATCTATCGGACTTTCCGTCGATGAGTGTTTTAACATGGTGTCAAATGGGACCCTTTTATGCACAACGGAATCTCCGTCGCGTTTCAGCGTTCCGTCGGCGCCGAGTTTCGGCGTTTCGTCGGAGCGTGTTTTTACATAGGTTCAAATGGAACCCTTTTATGCAACTGCGTTTTCCGTCGGGCGGAACGTAGTGCTGCCTGCCTACCCCACGCTCTGAATTTTGAATTTGAATTGAATTGAAAAATTCTTTATTGTTCTTTTCAAATACAACAGGTACAATACAATACATATTTATACACTAAGATTGTACATAAGTATTACATTAATATTACATGTTATTGTATTTATTCAAATATAAATTAAAAACAATATACTCTTCACAACATAACTAATTATTTTATTAAATAACGAACAATAAAGCCCTGAGGTTACAGAAGCTGTGCGGGAAACAAACATTTTTGGTAGTTGGAGCAACTCGTGGTTGGAAAGTCCAGCCCGTCTCCATTACCTCTGTCATCCACAGTATTGAAATCGCCTCATTATAAATAGATTATCATTATTCATTGTAATTGATTGAAGAGTACAAATAAAGAGATGTAATTGGGGAAAAATTACTCCGTTAGAATTACATTTCTGTTTAAATCCACGGAATAATACAAACTTACTGTTTTGTAGGAATAATACTACTTTATTCCCCAGACTGACATGGGAATTTTTGTATCAAAGGTATACCCGGGATTGATATGGGAATTGTTGTACAAATGGCAATCACACCATCTCATTGGCAACCCTGCAGTACTGCCAACACTGTCATTGCTTTCAACCCTAAGACTTTCATTCACCGGGTGTACACTGTACAACCCACCTCCATCGCCGCCGTCTTTTTTTCTTTACGCCACAAATGGGTATAAACCAATAAACATGGATCCATCTTGGATTAATGACTATGGAAAAATGAACATAGTTGGCAGCAATGACTACCCCCACTGCGGGCATCATAAAAAACTAGCATATTCCGCTCGGCGGAAAAACTGCATAAAAGCATAAAAGGGACAACGATTCCCCCTGACGATTTCGCCCGACCAAAAACGTCGTGCATAAAAGAGGCCTTAAGCTTGGTTTTCCTAGGCGCGGAAGCGGAGAGCAGAGAGAGGAATGCAGAGAGCGGAATAGAGATTAACATAGCATTCCACTCAGCTTCTAGGAAAACAGTAACATTAAATTACCTAGGACAAGTATTGTTAATTGCTTAAAAAACAAATAGACTGTTACAAAGATATAAGCATTTTAATAACATTAAAACCCTGACGCAAATATGCGACGGCAGTCTATTTTAATGTGACTAGCCGTCGCATGCAACGGCAGTCTATGGGTGGAAATCGGCCGTCGCAGGTCCATGTGAATGAAAAATTCCGTACCATTGCAGTAGCGAACGTGTTAAAAGACCAATGATCAGGAACACTTGGGTTCGGTTTCGACCTTCAAAAAGCTTACCATATGACTTAGGCGTAATCAGGATCAAACTGGAAACCTGCTGATTATAGGCCTACTGCACTATATCGACTCAGGTACAAAGTATGAATAGACTAGGTGGCGTGCGCAGAGGCATCCACAAAATTGAGCGGAGTCATCAAGGGTTTATATTATATTGTTTTGGTCATACTGCAGTAATACCAGTCGTTTTTAATGCATGCGTTGCGGGTCTAAAGTAGCATTTTTACTCTTTAGGAAGTAAAAATAGTTTTTATCCTCTATGGAGTAAAAATCAGCTGTTGTCAACTCAGTTGTAAATTTCTATTATAAACGATTGCATGTATCGAAATATGTATCGATTCGTGCTTCGTAATTATTTTAACCTACAGTCTACAGTCTCTTCCCATAGCGTTTTAGCATTGCAGATACATTAATCCATTCCCGCACTCAACACGCTCACCTTTACTACTTCCTTCACCACCCCCTACGTCGTGGAGCTATTTCCCTCTCTTCCCATAGCATTTTAGGATTGCAGATACATTAATGTAATTGCCAAAGACAGTTCCCACACTCTGCACTGCAAGCCTTCCTTCACCATTTCCTACGACATAGACTTGTTTCCTTCCCTTCTCATAGCATTTTTGGATTAAAGATACATCAATCTAACTGCCACAGATAGTTTTCACACTATGCTTATACTTTACTACTTACTAAGCCATTTCCTACATCGTGGACCGGTTTTCATCACTTTCCATAGCAGTTTATGATTGCAGATACCTTAATCTAATCGTCATAAACAGTTCCCACACTCCGGACAGCTTGCCTTGACAACTTCCTTCACCACTTCCTACGTCGTGGACCTGTTTTCCTCCCTTCCCACAGCATTTTATGATTGCAGATACCTTAATCTAATCGTCATAAACAGTTCCCACACTCCAGACTGCTCGCCTTTACTACTTCCTTCACCACTTCCTACGTCACGGACCTGTTTCCCTCCCTTCCCATAGCATCATAGGATTGCTAATACCTTAATCTAATGGTCATAAACAGTTCCCACACTCCGGAATGCTCGCATTTACTACTTCCTTCACCACTTCCTACGTCACGGACCTATTTACCTCCCTTTCCATAGCATTTTATGATTGCAGATACCTTAATATAATCGTCATAAACAGTTCCCACACTCCGGACAGCTCGCCTTGACTACTTCCTTCACCACTTCCTATGTCACGGACCTGTTTCCCTCCCTTCCCATAGCATCATAGGATTGCAAATACCTTAATATAATGGTCATAAGCAGTTCCCACACTCCGGACAGCTCGCCTTGACTACTTCCTTCATCACTTCCTACGTCGCGGACCCGTTTCCTCCCTTCCCTTATAATTTTTGGAATGCAGATACCTAAATCTAATCGTCATACTCCAGACTGCTCACCTTTAGTACTTCCTTCACTACTTCCTACGTCACGAACCCGTTTTCCTCCCTTCCCATAGAATTTTAGGAATGCAGATACCTAAATCTAATCGTCATAAACAGTTTCTACACTCTAGACTGCTCACCTTTAGTACTTCCTTTAGCACTTTCTACGTCACGGACCTCAAGCTAGTGTCATCATTTTATTATATTTATGATTCATACCGTTTCTGTTCTTATATCTGTGGAATAATGCTATCAGCTATTTCTTTTACATTCAAAAGTCAACAGCTGATCATATGTCTTTGTTTATGTGTCAAATACTGCTTCCATAAGGATTACATTGAAACTTTGAGACCCAGTGGGGCGGATTCCTGATAGACTTTTTTAACGCCATATAGATGTTGGCACTCACCGATATGGTCTTTATCACCATCCAAAATTTGAAAACGATTGATTCAGCCGTCTAGGAGGAGTTTGCGTATTACGAAATGCATAAAAGTCTACGTATGAGAGCTTCGCTCAATAAACTGAAAATATAACCTACAACGAGAGTTATAAAGCCTCCCTTACATCCACTTAAATTTTATTTTGTATGCCTATGCCCAACCTTCACATCCTAGGACGACAGTTCTAGCCCGGAACTGTTTTGTAAATTACTTCAGGATACTCCCAGAGGGTTGCGGCATTATCACATAGTAGATAAAATCCATTGGCAATTGGCAGGATTTGAACTCGGGCAACGAAGCCCCAAGATCTACCACTAGACCAGCTCGCTCCTCGCCTCTTCTCTCCATCCACTACATCCAAACTTTATTCCCAATCTTATGTAGTTTATATTATATTCATTCAGGTAATTCATGATTTACATTTTAAAATGACTGGATGAAAAACATATTTGTATTACTTAAAAAAGTATGTTTTCATTTACTGACCGGCAGGGCCGCGTTAAGGGTCAGTGGAGCCCTGGGCAAACCCAAAGCAGTACCCCCCTTTTTTCCTAGTGCGGGCAGGCGATGGTTGAGGGGCACCCTGTGAGCGCCCCCGAACCTCCGGCGCCCCTGGGCATATGCCCAGTCTGCCCGTTTATAAAAGTGGGCCTGCTGACCGGTGTAAGAATTAGGATTGCAGCAACAACTTTAGTACAAGATGTACAATTATAATTTAATTTTAACAAAACTAGTCTAACTTTTCAACTGAAGTCTTAAATAATAAACTAGCCATATTCTCTAAAATATGTAACACACTTAAGAGCCTTCACTAATGCACATTGTATTTTCTCAAACATCGTTGTTGTCTTCTGGTAGTAATACTTTGTCAATTTTGTGAACAACTCCATTTGATGTCAAAATGTCACATTCTGATGCTGTTGCGCCATTCACCTGAAACAAATCGTTTTCATAAATTATTGCCAATATCTTACTTGGGTTTAGAAAATGTGAAAGTATAGTTAAGTTAGAATGTTATCAATCTTTAGTTTTATTTGAATGTTGTTTTCTTTTCTTTTTGCGCTAACTGCTTTGTCTGTTCAATTTCACTGTTAGACATTTTAAG